TATTTATTAGAAATTCCATGTACGTATGAAGCAAATGCAATCGGTTGCTCTTGGGAACCATCTTCTTCGGTATCAATTATTGGAATTTCTTGGCGAGGAAATACTAATTTCATCATCTTCCCAAATAGATTTTTCCCAAGAACAACTTGGGTAAAATTATCTTGAAATATATGTAATCATTGTTAGTAATAATACATAAAAATTTCGTGTAAGAAATGGTGGACAAATACATTAACATAAATAATTGATCCGGTTAATGACATTTCTGATATTTATGCAGAAAACCAATCAAGGTTAGGAATAAACCTGCTGATCCACAACTCGTCACCAAATAAGGTTTTGTTAAAAAAACAAAGACCTACCCTCGTTAATCCTTTCTGGAACTCCAAAAGAATGTGGAATCGGTTGGTGTTGCAGGTACAAAATCGTCCCGTCTGTGCAACCGATTACAATGTTTTCGTAGTCAACAGCATGTATCAGAGAAGGAGTCAATTCTTGTAATAATGTTACTTCAAAACGACTATAATAAGTTGCTGGTAAGTCTCTGGCGGAAAAAAGAGTCCTTTGCGGTAAATCAAAGCGATATAAGACCCTGCATGCTAATAAGACTACGCAGCGTAAATTACGCGTTATAGGATCGGTGAAAAATGTGACGTATGGTAAGATGCTGGATGAAAACTTGAAACGAACAGCTCGGGTTGCTTCACCAGGCTGATCAACGGCTTCACCAGTATCCTCTTGAGAATGTATTAAAAATCGTCTTAGCTCTAACACGCGACCGGATTCTGTAACCCGCCACGCTATGTAGACAGTCGGATCAACTTTTGAATGATAAGTAGATCCTTGTGTCGCAATTTCTTCGTCATCTAAATCTTGATCAATGCTTGGTCGATCTTCAGCTTGTAGTTCGTGAGTAATAGCTTCCCCCTGTAAGGTAAAGCATTCAAGCGAAACGTTGGTGCTCCTGTATAAGTTTTGAGTGCTCATCTTTCTTAGTATACTAAAATTTTAAGTGTCTGTTACTTTTAAACAATCTGATTGGGCACTTGAAGATCTGTAATACATGTCGATCTTGTTTTTTAAATAATATGTAACCAATATCATAGGCAGAAATTCGTTTGATTGGCTAGCTTCGTAGATCAATTTGTAGATCTACATGTGATTATTAGCCAATCAAATCACACAATTTGCACTTCGTTATTTTATAATATTACGGTACTAGAAACGAAAACTTCAAGAAAAAATTCATATAAACCG